GGCGGGGGCGGGGCAGGGGGGGCGCCGAAATGACGGTGCCCCGGTGCGCTTGATTTGGTTGCAATCTGAAATGCTGACCTGATGGCGTTTTTGCACGGCACTGCCATCAGGTCTGGATTTGTGTTGTTTCGGGGAACCCCTGATACGCGGGCGGGGCCCCTGCAGCGGCTGTTGTGGCGTACGCGCACATTTGCGTCGTGTGGCCCTGCCGCCGGGCACACCTGTGCTGTTGTCATGCAACTGGCCCGCTCGACATGTACAACATCATCTAAAGCACCGCTGCCCTGCACAACTGCTGCAGCCATCATTCAATGCCTTTTTATCGCCGTGCCTGCGTCGCGCTCGTTTCAGACGGTTACTATCTTCACTTTTGGTCTCACCATCCTGACAGGGCGCAACATTGTGAATTGCGGGCACACAAACAGGCAGAAGCATCAGCTTTGCAATGCAGCATAACTTCCTGCAAACGAACAAACTGCCACAGGGCCGCTCGCAAAAAGTGGACTCCCGCTGCAGGAGGGCAGGGTCCTAGACGGCATGGCGTGGTGTGTGCAGCGGGCTGGAAGAAGTTTCCTGTCATCGCTGTGTCAGGTCTGTGGATTGAGTGACTGTACACGGTGTGGTATGATGGGCTTGAAGAACATCCTCCGCTCAATTGGACAAGGGCAAGCACCGCGCACGTATGCCAGTGCCATTTGGCCGGGCGCAATCAGCCAAGCCTTCCGCCGCTGTGGCCTCCCTAGGATGGGTGGCCCGTCGTGGCGGGTGTCACTCTATCTACTCGCACCCTCCGACAGGTGCACACCACAGGCAAAGGCGCACCCGAGGTGCATGCCATTTCCAGCCACTCGGTGTTTGGCGTCGCCGTGATAAGCACTGTTGGCGGCGTGGTGTCCCCAGCACCAGCACACGACGACGACTGTTGTACACAAAACCAAGCAACTAACGCCTGGCAGCGCACTACCCGCGCCACCGGCACCACCCGTGCCTCATCCGCTGCCCTTGGGGGCAGTCAAGGCGCGTGGCCTGTCAACAAGAAAAGGCGCCGACAGCAGCCGCGGCTGTTGTAGTGGTGCGCGACAAGTCAGCCCATTCAGCGGGCATCAGCATGCACGTAATCATTGTCAAAAACGCTCGTCAACCTTGGGTCCCCAGGTCTGTTTGCGACCTCACAACAGATTTGATTTTGTCATCATTGGTAGTTCAATGGCACATAAGCAACAATGCGCCCGTTGGTCAACCATCGAGCTGCTGCAGAGGGGGGGCACACGGCTGCGGCACACCCCACAGCGTGGCGCTCAGCGCCGTCAAGCCGTGCACCCCAGGCCGGCCGCGTCGCGCGGGGGCGTGGGCCGTCAACTGGCGCTTGTGAGCGCTGTGGTGACGCGGTCGACGGTGTACAGCATGGCCGCATTCGCGGGGGCGGCGCGGATGATGCAGGGCGTGAAGCCCTTGTAGAACCGCCGCACGCCCCCCTCCTGCCACAGCAGCTGCACGTTGAAGGAGCGGGGGCCCGCAAGGGCAGGGGAGTTAGATTAGTCACGCAGACATCATGAAACTGTTGCAATGCAAGTATGGTGGGCGAACCACGCCCAGCCAGGAGGCCAAGAAAGGAAAAGTTGATTGAGCTGCCGACACTGCATCCACACCCTCCTTGCTCCGTGCTGCTTCCAGACAACCTTCGGTTGTCGCACAAGACTGTGCAGTCTTGCAAGCACTTGCAGTATCGCGCAGACGTCACCCCACGGACACACGGGCACACGCGCGCGCACTTTGGCAGTCGTGACCATGTCTGGGAACCTCCTCTGCGCCTTGGCCAGGCTGTCGGTCTGCATCGCGGATTTCACGCAGTCCACAGGGAAGATGACGCCCCAGTAGCACACGCCCCCCAGTCCGGCGGCCGACAGCACCACCCAGGCCGGCAGCTTCTCAGGCGCCGTGTCTAGGCGCTGCGCGGCGGCGCGCTTGAGGACCTCGAAGGTGCCCAAGTAGACAGAATTGGCGGGGGTGTTGCGCAGGATGGTCGCACCCAGGCCCTGCAATTGGTGCGGGTAGGCGGGGGAGGCGCGTGGAGGCAGTTGAAGCGAGAGGGCAGCAGGGCTGCCCCCTGGGCGGCCAGGCAGCCCCGGCTGGAGCGCTGGTAGCACTATGAAGGGGGAGATGCGGCTGCTCTCTGCAAGCGCTGCTGGTCAGCGAGCTGTTCAGCCGCGCCCCTGGCCTGCTTCGTTCGCGCGAGGCTATTACGAGAACCCCTGCTCTGGACTGCGACGCCGCCGCCGCCGCCGCCACCACCGCTGCACACGCCAATTGCATTGCTACCGCCTCCGCTATTACATCCCCTTAATCCCCGGCCCCTGCCACATTTAGTTGAGCAGTCCGCGGGTGGCAGTGCTTCCCCCAAGCCGCACCTGGAAGGGCCCCCTGACACCGTTTTCCTGGACTGCGGCGCGCACGCACTCCCAGACCGTGGTGTAGGGCGCCTTGTATTCAGGGTTGACCTTGGAGCGGATGATCTGGACCTGGGGGGTTTAATGCAGTCGCGGGGATAGAAAAAATTATGAGATACCGCGCCATTGCACGTGTACAGGGGCAGGAGCGGCTGGGACGGTCTGTGCAGCAGCAGCACGCGGGTGCGCAGCTGCCTGCAGCAGCCGCCAACGCGCCGCAGGGCCCCTCTCACCGACGTTGCCCCTGCCTCAGAGGCCAGCTGCCCCTGCGTCCAGCACCGAAAACCAGACGCGGTGCATCGCATGGCCCGTCAAGGCCCCACCGGCTGCCGACGCAAGCACATGCGACCTCCCCCAGTCTCACCTGGATCTGGCTCTTGAAAAAGTCGATGGGCCCCTCTGTGAACGCCGCTACAAACCCCGTGATGGCGCCGGCCTTGTAGAAGTCCGCCGTGGTCAGCGCCCGCGCGCCGCCGTCCGTGTCTGTTGCCAGCCACCGCTTGCTGCTGCCAAAGGTGGCGAAGAGCGACGCGCGGAACAGCATCTGGCCCGCCAGCGGGGAGGCGACGCCCTGGGGGACCGGCCGGCAAGGGGTGGTTTCTTGATGCACAAGTGCCGGGTGTTGGGAACGAGAAGTGTTACAGGAAGTATGGGAGGGTGGGGGGCGGGGGTGCTGACAGGCGTGTGTGCGAGCAAGGGTTCTATTTGCGCATGGTCTCGGGACACGGCCGTTGGGTGGCGCACTGCCACCGCTGGTTTTGCCCAGCGTCGGAGCCAGCCGTGGCGCACCTTGTACAGGCCGCCAAGGCCCTCCCACTGCACGGTCTTGCGCGCGCAGTCGACCACGCCGGCTGCGGGGCCGGGGCACAGGGAGAGATGAAAGGGAGTTGATCATGCACGGCGTGCCTAAGAGATACCACCCGCTGCAAGTGCCCCTGGATTTGGTATGGACCCGTGCAGTGGCGTTTTACCCCTCAGGATCATGCATGCCTGGTTCCTGATGCGACCGTCCCCTTGCCTTCAGGCTGAAACAAACTATCCGAGGCAAGCAACCGCTGAGCGCGGTGGCTCAACGCAGGAACCGTCGCCCGCTCCCTGGGCCTCGGCGCTCACAGTATATGGGGTTGGTCGTGGGCTGAGTTTGCAGCCTGACCTTGAGCGTGTCGAAAGGGTGGCCAACGAGGGTGACAGATATGCCGCCTGTTGGTGAAGGCGGCGGGCGGTGGTGCGTGCGTGGGCGCACTGCACGGTCAACAGATCTTCAGCAGCGCGTTGGTGGGTGCGTGCACGCCCGTCCACAGGCTTCAAGCCGCATGACATCGCCTCGTAGAGCTGATATGGACCTATCTGATGTGTCTATACATTTAGCGGCGCTGCATATGGATGCCTACAAGCTACAACGCCGCTGCACCTGCCGCTAACACGCACGCATGCGGGCCGCTCACCGCATGTGCCCGCAAAGACGTCGCGTGCAAGCTTTTGAAATCCCCCTGTACTTGGTGACGCGTGTGTTACGACTGTGGCGTGCGTTGCTCCCACGCCTATGCTCCCCACCGGGGCCTTAGACTGGTCCGCGAACATCGCTGCTGTATGCTAACAAGATGCACAGGTGAGATTTTGGTGAATGATGTATTTTTTAGCCTGGGACGGTGTCGTGTCGGTTGAACATGCCTCCCATTGGCCCTGTCACTTCTGATTTGAAAACACCCACAAAGCGCGCAGCGTACAGTAAAGCGCACAGCACTCACAGACAAATCTTCCAGGTGGATAAGTGCAATTCGACACAAGATCCCATGATAGCACCCAGCACATGCATACAGGGTGCATCAGGGGGCTTTTGTGCGTTGAACCAGCCTGGTCTGAGACCGCAACCCACAGTTCGACATAACGCACAGGTGAGAGGTGTCTCAATAATCAGAGGTAAACCTGTTGCAAACAGTGTTTGCCGCCTCTTGTCCCCTGATGCACTGCTGCCAGTAAGTCGGCGACGTCGAGCAGAGTGACTTTTGACTGCTTACAAACCAACATAAAATATGGGTCAACCCCAGGGCGACACGTTCGCCGACCACAAAACAATTGACTGCGTTTCAGCAGCAAACAACATCCAAGTGGAGCGGATTGCCAGAAGGCCGGTGCATGAGGTGGCGCCCCATAAAGCGCCCCTCCGAGCCTGCGGGACACCTCTGGGTCAGAAAGCGATGCCCATCAGTCGATCACAGCCCCCGCTGCGCCATGTAGCGCGCGACGACGCGCTCCACCGTGTCCACGATCGCCTGCGTCTGCGCCTCCACCTCGATGTTTACGCTGTCCCCCTCCCCCTTGAGCCCAAACACCGTCACCCGCAGCGTCTCGGGGATCAGGTAGACGCTGAAGGTGCGCCCCTCCACCTCCCCGACCGTCAGGCTGCAGCCGTCGACGGATATGAAGCCCTTTGGCAGGATGTACTTCATCCAGCTGTCATCGGGCAGCTCGAACACCACGCGGCGGTTGTTGGGCGTCTCCTCGACTGCCGAGATCACGGCCTTGGTGTGCACGTGGCCGGACACGTTGTGGCCGCCGATTTCGTCCCCCACGCGGGCGGAGCGCTCGTAATTGACCGACTTGCCGACTTCCAGCCCTCCCAGGTTTGTGGCGCGCAGGGTCTCTGACATGATGTCAAACGACAGCATGTCCCCATCAGCGGCGGTGACTGTCAGGCAGGTGCCATTGATAGCGACGCTGGCGCCGATTTGGATGTTGGCGGCGCGGCCAGGGGGCAGGCGGATGTTGACGCGGCTGAGGCCCTCGGCGCGCGACACGTCCACCACCTGCAGCAGTTGGGAGGTTCGCGCAGTGTAAGTTTTGCGGTGCTTTTTTGCGCATGACTGTTCATCAGTTGCCGCTGCATGCAGCACAGCCTGCTTCACGAATGCACGCGTGGGCAAGCCTTGTGAGGAAGGCTGCGATGTGGTGGCCAGCGCTGTTGATGGCGGCGAGAGCATCCTGGTGACCCCCTGCATGCGCCGTTTGTCAGTCTCTGGATACACAGACTCACCTCTGCCAATCCCTGCACAATGCCGGTGAACATGCTGACCGCGCGGATGGCGCGAGCACGGGAGACGCCCTGCACTGGCCGCCGGCGCTGCTGCTGCACAACCTGCTGCTGCGGGCGCCGCGGCAGGACACGTGAGTGCTGCTGAGATTGAAGGCTGCCAGCGTTTCGTCCCAGGGCCTGCATTGTAAGAGCCGCGCGCGTGGTTGAAAATTGCCGAAAGGTCCAAGCCAAGATCAGCTTGGACACTGCATATTATGTACTATGCTGCACAAAATCTATTTGCAAATCACTTAGGTGCATCGTCACCAAGTCACATTGCTGTTTCGTCACTAGCTGTGTTGCAATTGCGAAGTGATCAGCACAAGTGGCGCCCTGGGAGTGTCTGGACCATCATGAGGCAGTAGCTGATCTCAGGAAGCACGTGGCATAGCGCCGACGGTGTCAGAGTGCCAGTGCCATGCCCGCAAGCGGAAGTGCCAACTCTCTCTGTGCAGCACGCGCAGAGCACGGCGCTGTGCTGGAAGGGCGGCGGCGACAGATGTACAGGGCAATTGTAATGCACCCCTTCATGGCGTCTGAAGCTTGAAACCAGTGACTCTGGAGCATCCGTCCTGCTGGGTGCTTGCCTCTTTGGCCGCCCTGCGCGCTGTGGGGCAGACCAAAGGCATCAGCCGCCTGGCAGCTGCGGCAGGGCCCTGGATAGATTCTGCAGCGGCCTCGGGCACCACCACCGTGATGGAGGTCGCCGCCGACGACCCGCTGCGCCCCACCAAGCTGGCGCTGCTGTCAGAGCTAGGCGCCGGCCAGGGCGCCGCGCCGCGCCTGGCGCGCCTGCCGCTAGACGCTTGCCTGGCCGCCGCGCGCGCCCTGGTGATGAGGACCGACGAATGGGAGGCGTGGGCGCCCGGCGCGGCGGCGCTGCGGGACGTCGCCTCCTGCCTCAGCCCGCGCAACGAGGCCGCCGCGCTCGCGCTGCTGCACGCGCACGCGGACGAGGTCTGCGGCGGCGACGCGGCGCGGGCGCGGCGGCTAGCAGAGCTCTCTGAGGGGTACTGCGCCCGCACGGGCGCGCCGGAGCCGGCCGCGGCGCTGGCTGCAGATGCGGCCCCGCCGCACGCCGACGGCGGGCCCGCCGGCGGCGCGCCCATGCCGGCGGCGGCGGCGGCCGGCCGCTCCCCAGCTGACGCTCTCCAGGCGTGGGCGGAGGCCCACGGCATGGACACCGCGCTCGCCCCGGCCGTCTTCCCCGGCGGCCTCCGCGGCCTCGCGACGCCGCCCGGCCGCGGCGCGCTGCCAGCGGGTGCGTGCGTCCTGAGCCTGCCTGCGGCGCTGCTGATCACGTACCAGACGGCGCGCGAGTCGGATCTGGGTAGGGCGCTGGCGCGGATCCCCGGGCTGGATGACGAGGCGGTCGCCGTGATCTGGACGATGGTGATCTGGAGATTGGGCCGAGGCTGTAGGACGGGGACGGGCCAGGGGTGGGGTGAGGGCAGGGGCCCTGCCGCCTGGTCGGCGCCCGGGTTTCTTAATCATCAGAGGTGCCGTCCTGTTGGTTGGGTCATTGGGGCAGCCAGGGGGCCCTTAGTGCCCATGGCATTCAGAACCAGTGGTGGCATCAATGCGAGGGGCCCTCACATGCCCCTACCCCTCACAAGTGTCCCTCGCACGCCCTACCTCTCCAGAGGGTGCCCCACACCCCCCGCCGCTCAAATGGGTATCCGACGTCCCTCCACCCCCAAATTTTCACTCATATGGCGCCTCTGCAGGTGGAGCGCCACGACCCGGACGCGGACGCGGCGCCCTTCTGGGCCGCGCTCCCGCAGCGCTTCTGCACGGGTGCGCACCCTCGCGCAATGCATTGAACCAGCCCCGCCGCCCGCGTGCGCGCACGCCGCCCACCCTGCCGTCAAGTCTCCCCTCCCCTTGCTCCGAAGCCGGCCCGCCGCCGCTGCGCAGCTGCACATTCCATGCTGACAGACCACCCGCCATCCCGCCCCGCGGTCATCGCCACCGAATCCTCCCGCAACCCCACAAAAACAGGCCTGAGTGCGCCATCCGCCCTGGTAGACCTCTTGGCCGGCACGCCCTGCCACCAGACGTTCTCAGAGGCGCGCGCCCACCTGCGGCACCAGCACGCCGCGCTCACGCCCGTGTTCCGGTCGCTTCTGGCGGCGTACGGCCAGCACCTGCGGGCCGAGTGGTTCGAGTGGGGCGCTTTTGCGTGGGCGGCGGAGCTTTGGTATGCATACGCCATCCAGGTGGGGGCAGCTGCGGCGCCTGCAGCTGCCACGCGGTGCCCTTGCGTATCAGCAGCCAGCCGAAAACCTGTCACGAAGGCGAGGGTGGGGAGAGATAGAGAGAGCGATGCAGCCGGGTGCCCGGGGTCCAGCATACCATATATTCTTGCTGATGTGATGGGTGATGAGTGTGGCGGACGGGCTGAGGCTGTGTGTAGGGCAGCTGAAGCGAGCTGTCGCCACATCATCATGACTCATCCGTCTTTTGTGGTACTGGACGCCCTCGCCGCGAGTACCCCGTTGAAGTATTTGGATTGGCACCACAACCCCTGAGGTCCTTGCGCCCGCTCTCGTTGTTACTGGTCACATCCGCAGGTGCGCTTCCCGGACGGCGTCACCCGCCCCGCGCTGGCGCCGTTTGCCAGCCTCCTCAACCACAGCCCCTGGCCCCACGTCGTCCGCTTCAGCCAGGTCGACGCCGTGTCCGGCTGCCTGCGGCTGCAGCTGCTGCGGCCGGCGGCGGAGGGCGAGGAGGTCTGCCTGTCGTATGGGCAGCTGCCTAATGAGGAGCTGCTGCTGTTCTACGGTTTCGTGATCCGAGGCAATCCCTTTGAGCGGCAGGCCGTGAGCTATGGCGAGGCAGTGGCAGCGGAAGCCGCGGCAGCGCTGGAAAACACAGCAGACCCGGCGGTGGCAGCGGCGGCTGCAGCTGCGCCGCCCGAGAGCGGCGGGAGCGGCGACCAGGCCAGGGCAAAAGCGGCGGCCGAGCTGCGGCGGCAGCGGCTGGCTGCGCTCGAGCGCTGGGGGCTGCGGCCGGAGGCGACCCTTTGGTCGAGCTGGCGGGGGCGCCAGATGCAGCGGCTGCTGCCGGCGGCCCGCGTGATGGCGGCGGGGCCAGCGGAGCTGCCCACGGCAGATACACCGACGGCGCCCGCGAAAGGGGCCGGCCGCAAAAGGGCAGGGCGCGGCGCCAAGTGCGGACGGCAGCGGCCGCCTCAGGCGCGGCAGCCGGGCGTCGCGGAGGACGTGTGGCCGTGGAAAGCGAGCAGTGCAGGGAATGAGGCCGCCGCTGTGGCTGTCCTTGAGGCGGCGGTGGCGCGCGCAAGGGGCCCTTACGAAGCCGCGCTTCGCCGTGTGCGTGCCGAGCTGCAGCGAGCGGCGCAGGCCGCTACAGCGGGAGACGCGCACGCAGGCAGCGGCGCTTCCAACGGCAGCAGCAGCGGCAGCAGCAGCAGCGGGGGCGGCTTGGCGGCCGCGGCGGCGGGCAGCTCGGCGGCGGGCGGCGGCGGCGGCGAGGGTGGGGGCGGCGGTGATGAGGAGGGGGATTTCTTCGCGGAGGAGCGCCGCGCGTTTCTGCTGCACCTGGAGGTGCTGCTGTCCGGCGCTGCCGGGCTGCTTGCGCCCCCACACGGCTGATGCTGTGGTGCAGCGTGCGCCCCATTGGAAACCCCACTTGTTGAACCCTAAACCCTGATGAACGCTAGGACCAGGCGGCCGACGCGCGCTGGAACCGCAGTTCCAAGGGGCGTTGATGGGTTTGGTTGTACGCCAAGCATGCACCAAGGGTTGCAAGTTGGGTTTTACACCGCTGGTTACAGGGTTATGCGGCTCGGATCGTGGCATTTGTCGACTCACCCAACAAGCCGACCTTGCGGGATGGTGACAGCCAATGCATGGATGGGGGCGAGCCCGAGCTCGTCTCCCACCGCAAGCATAGCGGCCTGCACCCGCTCCCGCACGCGCGCTTCGCCGCAGCCGATGCACCGCGCGAGCGGCCCGTACAGCGCCAGCAGGTGCCCGCGCGTGCGCTCCGCGCCGTGCGCGCCGCCGCTGCTCGCGCGTGGGGCCGCGTGCGCGGCGCCGCCGGCCCCGCCGGGCCCCGGGGCGCCCAGAAAGGCGCCGCCGGCGCCGGCCCCGCCGCTGCCGCTCGACAGGAAGCTGCCGCTGCCGCCAGGCAGGAAGCTGCTGCTTGTCGCGCCTGCCCCCGGCGTCCCGCCGCCGCCGCCGCCGCCACGGTCGCCGCCGCCGTGCAAGGCGTGGTGGTGCGGAACCAAAGGGCCCAGCTGCTGCTGCCACTCCTGCCACATCAGCCACGCCGCCAGCTGCGGCCGCGACTCCCCGGCCGCCTCCAGCACCGCCGCCTCGAGCCACGTCCCCAGCAGCACGTCCAAGGCGCAGATCGCGTCCTCCAGATCGTCTTCGGACGGCGCCCCTCGCGGTGCAGCCTCGGCCGTCGGCGCGGCCCCGCCCGCACTCACATGCACGCCGCAGCCGCTGCTGCTGCCGCCGCCGCCGGTGCTGCAGCTGCTGCAAGCCGCGTTGAGCACCGCTTCGCAGCGGTCCAGCAGCGGCGGCAGCGCGAGCCGGGCGACCTCCAGCAGGCACGCGTCCGCGCCCCTCGCGCCGCTGCCGCGCGCGCACAGCTCCCCGAGCCGCCGCAGGCACAGGTGGCCAAACGGCGCCGGCCCCGCCGCTGCATCTGCGTCTGCGCCGGCGGGGCCGTCGG